CACTACTTAACACCCACGCAGATCTTTTTCAGGGACAGAGCTGCAGGTACAGAGTCCTCTTCAAAGATACATCAGGACCGTTTTATAGGTAAGGATATCAGCTCTGGTGATAGCCACACAATTTATTGCACACACCTGGAATATTTGGGTACTTTGATACTTTACAAATGCAGACATGTAGCAGCCCTTAAATGCACATTTCTTGCCTAGACGAACTCAATACACTGAACCAGGCCAACCTACACATGTATATCACAGAAAGCACCAGTTAAAAATTAAGTCCCAAGTTCAGTGTGGGCCTTTCATTCCACCAGCTCCCACTTTAATTCCAGGCCTGCCTGCCCAGCTTCCCCCGTCCTTGGTGGTGTCTGGACCTCTCATTATGGACCCCAGAATCTGCTCTTAGGGACAGAGCTTGCATTCACCCTGTGGCCCCTGGGCTCCATCTGGCTTGCAGGTCCACTCCATCCCCACCACCCTAATTAGGGAAAACCTCACAACTCCTAACTGGAAAGTAATAGAAAAAAGGCCTTTGAACCTTCAAAACAAGCTGGCCTTTAGCCAGACATTCTACTCACATACAAGAATTTTTTTTCAACTATTAATTACACAGATATATTCTATTGTAAAAAAAAAATCAAGGATACCATACAGAAGCCATTGTTATTAGTTTGGAGTATGTCCATCCAGAACTTGTATGTATTTACATATATAAATATACATAGAGAAATACAAAGATTCGTGAGCCTGTGGAGCCTTTTCAAAAAAACAAATAGGATCATATTGTACCTATCTTCTTCTGCAGCTTGTTTTTTTAAATTAACAATAAGACTATTATCGGGGCACCTGGATGGCTCAGTTGGTGGAGCATACGACTCTTGATCTCAGGGTTATGAGTAGTTTGAGCCCTGTATTGGGTATAGAGATAGCTATCTTGCCAGGGTATAGAGATTATTTAAAAATAGAAAATCTTTAGGGGCGGGGCACGTGGGTGGCTCAGTCAGTTAAGCAGCTGCCTTCAGCTCAGGTCATGATTCCAGGGTCCTGGGATCAAGCCCTATGTCGGACTTCCTGCTCAGTGGGGAGTCTGCTTCTCTCTCTGTCCTTCCTCCTGTTCGTTCTCTCTCTCTCTCTCAAATAAATAAATAAATAAAATCTTCTTAAAAAAATCTTTAGGGGTGCCTGGCTGGCTCAGTCAGAAGATCATGTGACATAATTAATCTCAGGATTGTGGGTTCACACCCTATGCTGGGCGTAGAGATTACTTAAAAATAAAATCTTTAAAAAATTGAATAAAATTAAAATTAAAAATTAAAAATATTTTTAAAAGACTTCTTTTATCAATACATCTTTCCATTTGTATATATATATGGAGCCATTTAGTTCTTTTTAACTGCTACATACTATTCCATAGTATTGAGAGTTTAGAAAGCCAAAATAATACCCCTTTCTTTCTCTCCTAAGTCTATGATCAATGGGGAAAGACAGATATAAATCAAAAACTTATAGAAGTCAAAACATCTGTGTTGTTAACATGCTGATTGGAAAACATGGTTTACAGGTGCATCTAGAGGGACTTGCATTTCACCCCTGAATGATTGTGGGGTCACAGGCATCCTTGGATATCCACATGTCCTCAGTCTTCAGGGCTTACTACAAAACAGGGCACTCCTCCAGGCAGACACCTTGGAAAATGGGAGCAAAAGGGCTGAGCTAAGATGCCCAGCCCCTTCTACCCAACTCCCAATCAGGCAAACCTGTCCTCTCCTCATAGGAATGCATAAGTGGATGAGGGAAAGGAAGGAGGACAGGAGTGTAACCTAGAATCTAACTGAGGCCAGGGAAATGGAGATCCCCCTGATCATTTTCCAGCTTTTTGTTCTTGTAACCCTTTTAGACCAAAATGCACAGGGGCATGGTTGACTCCCCGTTTCTCCCTGGAGCAGAGGACAAGCATTTATCAGAAGGTTCCTGGCTTCTGCCTTCATGAATCCATTCCCTCAATACCAGTGACTACTCCTTTATAGATCTGTCTTGTGAACATTTGAATTTTACATTGTGAAGTTTACAATTTAGCCTCAGAAGACTCTAATGTGGGTTAGGACAGCCCTTTTATTAAATTGACTCCTAGACCTTGATGTTATCTAAACAAAAATGTGCTCCATATTTTGTTTCCCATCACAAATATGCCCACATTGTCCAGTGTAACTCACCAAAGGTTATACAGCAAAAAGATACTTCTTTTGAAAATGCAGTATCTAACATAATAAAGATCATATATTAAAAACCCAGAGCTAACATCATACCGAACAGTGAAAGACTGAAAACTTTTCTCGAAGATCAAGAACAAGACAAGGATACATGCTTTCACCACTTCTGTTCAACATAATATTCCAAGTCCTAGGCAGGGCAATTAGGAAAGTAAAAGAAGTAAGAGGCATCCAAATTGGAGAGGAAGAAGTACAATTACCACTATTTGCAGATAACATGGTATTATATATATCATATATAATTGTCTTTAGGGTTAAAGACTCCGCCAAAAAACTGTTTGAACTGATAAACAAATTCAGTAAAGTAGCAGGATACAAAATCAATATACAGAAATATGTTGCATTTCTATGTATTAATAATGAGCTATCAGAAAGAGAAATTAAGAAAAAAATCCCATTTACAGTTGCACTGAAAAGAATAAAATACCTAGGAATAAATTTAACCCTGTACACTGAAAACTATAAGATATTGATAAAAGAAACTAAAGAAGACACAAATAAATAGGTATTCCATGCTCATGGATTGGAATAATTAATACTATGAAAATGTCCATGCTACACAAAGTGATCTGCAGATTCAGTGCGATCCCTATCAAAATTCCAAGGGCATTTTTCACAGAAATAGAACAATCCTAAAATTTGTATGGAATCACAAAACACCCGAAATAGCCAAAACAATCTTGAGAAAGAAGAACAGAGCTGGAGGCATCACTCTCCCTGTTTTCAAACTATATTACAAAGCCTTAGTGATTTAAAAACCATAGAAATCAGGCACCTGGGTGGCTCAGTTGGTTAAGCAGACTAGACTGCCTTCAGCTCAGGTCATGATCCCGGGGTCCTGAGATCGAGTCCCGCATCAGGCTCCCCCTGCTCAGTGGGGAGCCTGCTTCTCCCTCCCCCTCTGCCTGCCACTCCCCCTGCTTGTGCTCTCTCTCTCTGTCAAATAAGTAAATAAAATCTTTTTTAAAAACCCATAGAAATCAAAACAGTATGGTATTGGCATAAAAACAGACACATAGATCAGTTGAACAGAATAAAAAGCCCAGAAAAAAACCGCACATATTTTTTGTCAATTAATTTACAACAAAGGAGCCAAGAAAATACAATGGGGAAAGGACAGTCTCTTCAGTAAATGGTGTTGGGAAAACTGGACAGCCAATTATGAAAGAATGAAACTGGACCACTAACTTACACCAGACACAAAAAACAGCTCAAAATGGATTAAAGACTTGAATATAAGATCTGAAACCATAAAACTCCTAGAAGAAAACAGTAGGCAGTTAGCTCCTTGATGTCCTTGACAAATATTTTTTGGATTTGACACAGAAATCAAAGGCAACAAAAGCAAAAATAAACAAGTGGAACTATGTCAAACTAATAAGCTTCTGCACAGCAAATGAAACCAAGGCAACTTACCTAATGGGAGAAAATATTTGCAACTTACATATTCATAAGGAATTACTATCCAAAATATATAAGAACTCATACAACTCCATAACAAAAACAACAAATCCATTTTTAAAAATGGGCAGAGGAACTGAATAGACATTTTTCCAAAGACATACAAATGGCCAACAGACTCATAATCATCAGGAAAATACAAATTGAAACCACAATGAGATATCATACCTCACACCAGTCAGAATAGCTGTCATCAAAAAGACAAGAAATAACAAGTGTTGACAAGGATGTGGAGTAAAAGGAACCCTTGTGCGCCTTTGGTGGGAATGTAAATTGGTGCAGCCACTATGGGAAAGAGTATGAAAGTTCCTCAAAAATTAAAAATAGAACTACCATATGATCCAGCAATGCCACTTCTGGGTATACATCCAATGGAAATGAAAACAGGATATTGAAGAGATAGTTGCACTCTTGAGTTCATTGCAGAATTACTCATAATAGCCAGATGTGGAAACAACTGAAGTATCCATCAACAGAGGAATGGAGATTGATTGATCGATCGATTGACCTATCATTTATCTATACACACATATACTATATATGCATTACATATATATACATACATACACATTATATAGATACACACACACACATATATATAATGGTATTCGGTCATGAGAAAGAAGGAAATCCTGAGATCTGTAACAACATGGGTGGACTTTGAAGGCATTATAGTAAGTGAAATAAGCCAAACAAAGAAAGACAAACACTGTATGGTATCACTTATGTGTGGAATATTAAAAAAAAAAAATCAAACATATAAACAGAGAATAGAAATGTTGTTGCCAGGACTAGGGAATGGGAGAAAGGGAGAGGTTGGCAAAGGGGCACAGACTTTCAGCTATAAGATTAATAAGTCCAAGGATCTAATGTAAAACAGGGGACTATAGCTGGTAACACTGTATTGCAAAACTGAAATTTGCAAAGAGAGTAAAACTTAAATGTTCTCACCAATGAAAGATAAACGTGAGGTGATGGATGTGGTCATTAACTAGATGGGGAGCATCATTTCAAATGTATACATATATCAAATCACCATGATGTACACTTAAATATCTTACAATTATATATGTCAATTATACCTCAATAAAGCTGAAATTTTTTAAAAAAGAACTTACTGCAGGGGCGCCTGGGTGGCTCAGTCGTTAAGTGTCTGCCTTCGGCTCAGGTTATGATCCGAGGGTCCTGGGATCGAGTCCCACATCGGGCTCCTTGCTCAGCGGGGAGCCTGCTTCTCCCTCTGCCGCTCCCTGCCACTCTGCCTACTTGTGATTCCTCTCTCTCTCTCTCTGTGTCATCTCTCTGTGTTATCTTTAAAAAAATAAATAAATAAAAATTTAAAAATAAAAAAAACTTACTGCAAAGCTACAGTAATCAAAACTCTGTGGTATTGGCATAAAGACAGTCATACAGACCAATGGAATAGAATACAGCACCAGAAATAAGTCCTCAGATATATGGTCAAATGATTTTCAACAAGGATGTCAAAACCTTTCAATGGGGAAGGAGCATGTTTTCAACAAATGGTGCTGGGAAAATTGAATATCCACATGCAAAGGAATGAAATTGCACCATATACAAAAATTAACTCAAAATGGATCAAAGACCTAAATATGAGAGCTAAAACTATAACACTCTTAGCAGAAAACAGGGAAAAACTTTATGACATTGGATTTGGCAATAATTTCTTGGATATGCCACCAAAACACAGGCAACAACAAAAATGAAAATAGATAAATAAGACTTCATCAGAATTAAAACCATTTGTGCATCAAAGGACACTATCACAGAGTGAAAAGCAATCCATGGAATGAAAGAAAATTTTTGTAAATCATGTATCTGATAAGGGATTAATATTCAGAATATTCAAGGAACCCCTGCAACTCAACAACAACAAAAACAAACAACCCAATTAAAAAAGGGCAAAGGACTTTGAGATGGTTAATGTTATGAATCAACTTGACTGGGGTAAGAGATACCCAGATAGCTGGTAAAACATTATTTCTGGGTGTGTCTGTGAGGGTTTCTTTGGAAGAGATACGCATTTCAATCAGTACACTAAATAAGGAAGATCAGTCCTTACCAGTGCAAGCTGACATCATCCAATTCTTTCAGGGCCTGAATAGATAAATAAAAATAAATGTTATTTTATGTTATGTATATTTTGCCACAATAACCAAAAACACAACATCTGTAACATAGAGATTTGAATACGTTCTCCCTCCTAGGATGGCTATCTCATAGAAAAATTAAAGTCCAGGTATTGAATTCCCTTAACCTTGTAACTTAAAGTTTGCAGTTAAAATCCAAAATTCTTCCTCTCTGATTGACTTATGCTCAGTTTCTGCCGGAAGTTTCTCACACTGATGCCCAGTAGAGCGAAGCAAAATGCATTCCTGTTGGTGTCCACTGGAATGAGTGTATTTCTATTAAGCCTTCACACACTGAATGAGGTAAGACTCTAATGTAAGACTCTAATGTACCTCTCTCTTAGTGAGTCCAAAGAGTAAACAGGATTCACAAGACTGTCATAGCACCAGTCACATACCTACCATATTTTGGGAACTCAAGCAATTCCCAACACCCCATGATGGCTGTAAGTACATAAACCTAAATCTAGAAACTTATGATTACCAAAGACCAAGGCCATGGGATCTGAGAGAAGGAGACTAGTTGAAGAAATCTTTGTTTCCAGCCCTACCAGAAAGTAAATCATCCACATCAGCTATCTGGAGACGATAGCCTGAAAACAAACTATGTAAAAAAAAAACAAGAGGTGAGTTAGAGAACCATACATTTAGTATACATAGAAGAAAAATGTCTCCTTTGGAGGATGGCATTTGAGACATTCCTGTCTTCTTGCAAAGTCACCATGTTTTATCTGAGGTTCTTTTCTTAGCCACCCAACTGACTTCCAAACTCTTAGTTCCCATCTCCCCCTGTGTTCCTGGCCACTCTATGCTCTGTCTGGTGACAAAGCCTTCACACTCTCTCCTGAACAGACACAGCACATTCCTGGGCTCCTCTTGCTGTGGATACCCAGGTCTGTGCAGGGCTTAAATTCAGTAGAGATGCCCCAGGAAAGCTGTTCTCATTGTTCAGCACCAGCATTCCTTGGGACTTCAGGGCCTGTTTTCCCCAGTCCCCACTTTTGTTTCCACTAGCCACCTCCAGCAGATTCGGAAGTCAAGCACTCTCCTAGAGGCCTGCAGAGGGCCCACACCTTTGCTGTCTGTTCTCCATCAAGCCCTAGGCTTTCTTTGGCTTTGCATATTTTTGAGGTCCTATATTTGAATTTCAGGTCTTGAATTACTTCTTCTGCCCGGTCTTTTTCTGTAGTAGTGGGGTAAACCTCTGGAGTTCCATATTCCCTGTAGTTCCCATCCCCCTTCAGGAAGATTTTAAGCAGTTTAGCTAGTTATTTATGTCCGTTCACTCTCTTCTCTAACTCCTACGTGGCTGATATTGCTCACTGGGCCTGAGTGTCTTCATCCCCACCAGCCTTTTGCTTTCTGGCCCAGATATTGTTTTTCTAACATAATCACCTGCAATTCATCTTGTGGGGTCCCTGAGAAAGAGACATTAAATTAGTGAGTTCTGGGTTTCCTGAAAGCCTTCATTTTCAAACAAGCAAACAAATTCTAATATCATCTTCCTGAATCAAACAATTCCACCCTGAGGGTAGGTATTGAAAAAAAAAACCCCTCTACCCTTTCCAAGTTCTTAGCTGAGACCCCTGTAATAAAAGACAGATTAACAAGAGAAAGACAAACAGAAGTCCATTAACATGTATCCCTCGTGTGTACATGGGAAATACCCAGGAGAAAATGACTAACTCCCAGAAGGGGCTTTAGAATTCAAGGTTAAATACTATCTTAATGGGGAAACGGCAGAGGGATGTAGGCCTCCTGGGGAGAGTAAATGGTCGTGGGGAAAGATGAATGGGCCCTTAGAAGAACAGATGGGAGGTATGACAGTTCATGACAAAATTTGTCGTTTTCTCTTTCAAATCCATCTAGCCTATGCTCTAAGATAGTTCTCAATCTTTTAGCAGGCATCAGAATCTCCTGGAAGGCTTGTTGCTGGGCTCTGCCCCTGGAACTTTCATGAAATAGGTCTGGGGAAGGGCCAGAGTATTTGCATTTCTATCAAGTTCCCAGTGAGGTTCATGCTACTGCTCTGGGGACCACACATTGATTCCAAGGCTCTCAGATCTCAATCTTCTCTGAAGGGAATCTCTCTCTCCTTATTTTGCTTGTATTCTTCCACTGCTCAATTCTAAAGCAGATTTTTTTTAAGTAGGCTCCACGCCCAGCATGGGAGCCAACACAGAGCTAGAACTCACGACCCTGAGATCAAGACCAGAGCTGAGATCAAGAGTCAGACATTTAACTGACAGAGCCACCCAGGCACCCCTTAAAGCAGATTTTTCAAACCTAGTTTGAAACAACTAGTTCTTCCTTGACACTCTGACTCCTAGATATAGGTATTTTAATCACCTTCTTAGCCTTTGGCTTTATAGTAATCCTACTGAGGTGTTGTTCTACTTCAACCCAAGAGGTTGGCATAGTTGCTTACTAATAAGATACTCTTCTGTCTCTTGATCTGAGTGGTGGATATTGGTAGTGTTCACTTGAACACATTTTTGCATGTATGTTATACTTTAATTTTGAAAAAATTTTTTTATTAAAGGGGCACCTGGGTGGCTCAGTCGGTGAAGCATCTGCCTTCGGCTCAGGTCATTGCCCCAGGGTCCTGGGTTTGAGCCCCGAATCGGGCTCCTTGCTCAGTGGGGGAACCTGTTTCTCCCTCTCCTGCTCCCCCTGCTTGTGCTCTCTCTCTCTCTCTCTCTGTGTCAAATAAATAAATAAAATCTTTAAAAAAAAAAGTCTATTAAACACATATGTGAATGCGCGCACGCATTCATTCTGATGATGGAGCTATATTTTTTGAGTCTCTAAAATCCAAAGTCATGGTCAGAGGTTATATAATTGGTCAGCATGGTGGATGTGACTTTTAACCTGTAGACAAGCCAAATGAATCTAAGAGGTTCATTTCCTGCTTGACCCTAAAAGCTGCTATAAAAAGTGGCCACATTTCAAACCGTATTTCAAACAGTCAAGGGCAAAAGGAACCCTGGCCCTGTCCTTCCTACGACGGCAGCAAAGCCTAATGCCAGCAGCCGGGGCTGTGCCAGGAGCATGATCTCCCCATGTGTTTTTTTCTGTTCTTAGGGCCAATCCCAGTCTACTGCTCAAGGTTCCAAGTTGTTGGGTTTTTAGAAGGTTACTATTTACAATTCTTTATTCCAATCCCCAAACAGAAGCAACCGAAAAATAGACAGTAGACCACCGTGTCTGCTTTTTCACTGCTGAGCATTGGATAGAACATGGATTCAAATCTTTGGCTACAAGCAGTTCAGCCTATAATTAGATAGATGGGGTGGAAATAGATAGGCTTCCTCATTCATTTACTACCGTGTCAAGCAGTGGAAAACAGGTCAAAATGTAGTGTCCCTGAGGATCATCAGAAAAGAGAAAAAGGAAAGAACTTGGCTGAACATATCCAGTTCTTTCTTCCAAATTCATTAATCATAGACGTCCCCTCTTCCCATAGAGAGGTGTGCATGGGGGGGGGACTCTAATTTCCTCTCATTGGAAATATGAGACCAGAAAAGAAATGGAGGTTCCCCCAACATACAGTATGGGCTTACCAGAGTTTATTTAACACTCTCCCCACTGATGGATATTTAGATTGTTTCTAGTCTTTCACCCAGTGAACAGGGGCCAGGGAAGATCCTGTATGTTTCATAGCGCACACATGCAAATTTCCTCAGGCAAGGCATCTGGAAGTGAATATCTAGGTTGAATGTATACACATTAAAAAATTTAATGAAGACTGACAATTTGCTTTCCAAAAAGGCTAGACATGATTTGCACTTAAGCCAGAAGGTGTGTAAATAACTGTTTCCCCACATCTTCATCAATGTTGGTTATAAGTGATCTTTTAAATTGTTGCCAATATGATAGGTAAAAAGGATCTCTTTGTTTTGGTTTGCTATATATGATTCTATCACAGGGGAGAATGAACATCTTTTTATGTTTTTGGCCATTTGTATTTCCTCTTCACAGAATTATCTGTTCATTTCCTTTGCCCATACTTCTTTTAGGTTATCTTTTCCTTATTAATTTGTAGGCATTCTTTATATATTTTGGATGCTAATATTTCGCCTTTTATATCTGTGATAACTATTCTTTCTAGTCTTTTGCTTGCTTTGTAAGTTGAGTATGTATCTTTGGTAGTACAGAAATTTTATTTTTATCAGGTTGTCATAATTTACTTTTTTTTAATTTTTAAAAACATTTTTTGGGGCGCCTGGGTGGCTCAGTTGTTAAGTGTCTGCCTTCGGCTCAGGTCATGATCCCAGGGTCCTGGGATCAAGCCCCGCATTGGGCTCCTTGCTCTGCGGGAAGCCTGCTTCTCCCTCCCCCTCTGCCTGCCACTC